TTTCGTTTTGCATGCGTTTGCGTATTTCGTTTCCATAAAGGGTGCGTGTAACGTGTGTTCGTACAGCATGTAACGTGCATGCGTTTTTTTTCGCAACATGCGTTTTGCGTGTAAACTGAAACGTTCACCCTACTGTATCACATACACAAAATAAAGACCGTTTAAAGTGGAAATAAGAGTAGTTGTTTTTCATTTACACGCCTATAGTATAACGCTACCATTTAGCCATCTTTACATAATGTTTTTATAACGCTAATGAGGTCATGTCAAATTATATGCATGGATGTGCAATACCATATTTACTGAGTGGCAAAATCAGCACTGGTGTGTGATAAAGCATATTAATACGGGGAAGTCAAAAACCGCAGGTCTGGCCGGGCTGTGACTAAAATGCCCGGCTATAGACTACATGTGTATATTTAAAAGAAAATCAAATAAAAAACAATTAAAAAATATGTAGAATTCTATACCTATCAATGAAATTTTCAGTGTCAGTTCTAGTCGGGGCCACCATTTACAATGTAACTCAATTCCGATAACGGAACAAATCTCAACTTTTCGGATAAATAATAAATGTCGAGTGTTCCGAGTGAAAAGGGAAGCGGTGCATGTAATACCGAATGACAATTTTAAAACGGAAAGAAAGAAAGGAATTTTTAACGACTTCCCCGTTCATAGGCTTTGCCTAATTTCATATTACATATTAAGCGCAGGTCAATTAGTTTCAATTCTAAGTGATATGAAAAATATTTTCTGTTGTGCTGTCTTTGTAAATCCAATAATTTTCCTCATTTTTTTCCTCTTGATTACAGTTTCAGACCTAAAATAAAATTGCGTTCTTAATATTTATATAGATCTACTGTATACTAATATATTGTAATGTCCTAGAAATTTTACCTTTTTTAGTGATTTCGCTGATTATTTCTACTTTCACTTTCGTTTTGAGAAGCTTTTACTGGCGACAAGACAGTAAATCATATGCGGTGTCCTAATGGAACATACAGGACATCAACTTGAATCTACGTATTGTGCCAGCAATTTAATCATTCTTGATTCTGGAAGCTTTTCCTTTAATGTTATCCATTTCCCTCAATGTTATCCGTGGTAGAATCCTGTGTTTTTAATCTGTTTTCGTGACTTCTGTCAAAATAGTTAATTCCTTTATTTTACACTCAAGCTTATATAGTTCGATTGTTTATGATGCAGCCTCACTTAATATATAGATTTGCCACATAAATCCATCTGAATTTAATTGTTACCACTGTATATTTTATAAAAATTTGCAATGAATTTTTCAATGTCGGCCATTTTGGACTATTACGTAGAGATTACGTAGTGAATGCAAGGGATAGTTCTTTACCCGATTGCGCATAAAAAGGAACACTTTACATTAACTTTTTTACTTTCGATATTAGCGCATGATAGCTTATAAATATATCTAAAAATAATTTGTTGAGGCTGTGACAAAAATTTATTTCGGTGCTAGATTGAGTGCATTTCAGTTCTTACATAAACTCGTTTAAAATACATTTCTAGCTACCTTACAGTATAGATCTATATGATAATCAAAATTTATCGCTTAAACGTTCTACATGTAGCTAAAGTTGTTAAAAACTTAAAATGATTACGATGTTTTAATAAAGGTTTAGAAACGTTTTCATTTTGCGTGCGTTTTAGCGTGCGTTTTTCGTTTAGCGTATTTCGTTTAGCGTATATCGTTTTGCGTGCGTCTGCGTATTTCGTTTCGTTTTGCGTGCGTATAACGTGCGTTCGTATAGCGTGTAACGTGCGTTCGTATAGCGTGTAACGTGCGTTTTGCGTGTAAACTGACACGTTCACCCTACTGTACTTTACTCTTTCCGCAGTGTCAGAACCTTGTCTATACTTGAAGTAAACCTCTTTAGGCTTATCCACTGAAGTAGGTTCAAGTCTATGCCGCGAATTGTAGCCGTTCCATTAATGAACTCTCTAATATCTAGGAATACATAATTAGCCTGATTGCACACTGTAGCATATAAATTGTCTTGAAGATGAAACTGCTCAACGAAAGTGCATACAGTTTGGTTCAACTTTGGTCGTATGTCTCCATCGTTGGCTGGTACACCACAATCCGAGTACACGTAAATCAAGAAAACAGGTATAGTACATATCAAGGCAATCACAATAATCCCTATCCATTTGATAAAGTTTAAATGATAATGCAGGGATGTGTTTCGAAATGAAACACTTTCCTCAACGTCAACATTTTCCAAGATTTGACGCATTGTCATAGCCAATCATTAAGTGTTTCTGGTTGCCAATCACCGCCGCTAGAGTTCTGAAGTCAGAATGACGAAGGGGGCTAAAGCGCTCTCTTATATACTCTCCACTGGGCAAGTCATATCTATTTTTGGTAAGAACGTCATCGTTCTCCATTTTGATTGGTTGATAAAAAATAGCAATACCGGTTTAAACCTGTCGTAACTGGACCGAAAACGATAGGCTATAGTAACTTGTCATAAATAGTTTGATAGGCAAGGAGTAAAGACTGGGGGTAAGCTTATTTTAGTTATTTTAATGATTTTTACGCATGAGTGATTTTAATTTCGATTTTAGTCCGTATTCATAAAGAGCGGCTTGAGACATTTCATTTGATACCAAACACGCCTTAGATCGGTCCAGGCGTGGTACAGAAAACACGTTTTTACGCTTCAGTGATTTCAGTTCCGGTCCAATGGCTTTTTGAATAGCGTCAGGTAACAGGTGTGGTAAAATGCTTTCCAACGATACCAAACACGTATATATTCGGTCAAGTAATAACGAAGAAATCGATTTTGAAATTTCTGTGACGTCACTTCCGGTGACTTTAAACTCGAATTACTCGAAAACGGTAAAAGATAAACCCATAAAACTATATATTTTCTTAATCAGCGCGACGAGACGAATCGATTGGTAAAAAGTTCTAACGTTTTTATTGACTTTCGCAATTTAGGGTTTAAAATCGCTCTTGCGTCATAACTCAAAAACGGCTGAAAATCGAATCGAGAACCCCGGGTCAAAACGAAAGCTTTCGGTTTATTCTATCTTATAACGACTTTATCTCAAAAATTTTGAGCGTAAACGGTTGCCCAAACGATAAAAAACCGGTTTATAGCTTAAATGTATTATAAATTTCATTTAAAAATCAGTTTACAACTTTCTTATACATAAGTTATTCATTCAAAATCAGTTTACAACTTCGTATACATAAGTGTATTCATTCAAAATCAATTTTCGTAAAAAAAAACGGGAATTTGAAGTGTTCATAAAAATCACAAAATTTGACAAGTTGTTAAGGGCAACCGTGTTTAAAATATGCAATCAGTTGACCGTAGTATGCACTTGAAAGGAACCTAATTAAGGGGGTACGATATATAAAGCGTAAATTTGTGAATGCATGCGAAGAGAAAAGGTCCGTCAATTCTATTAATCGATTGTGATTAATGAAAAGCTATATTTAGTAACGAAGGATAAAGGGTTTTTGTTCAACATAGTTCCGCTAGGTATTGTAAATCTAGACTAAGTGGCGACTGTACTTGACGGTCGCTGCGTTTGAAAGGATAATAGATTCTTTTGTGATTAATAAAAAGTTATATTTAGTAACGAAGGATAAAGGGTTTTTGTTCAACATAGTGCCGCTAGGTATTGTGAATCTAGACTGAGCGGCGACTGTACTTAATGCCTTTTTCTTTCATTGACACCCGCGTGGGGCTGATGAAATAGCTCCTGGTGGTTGTGAAATACCGCGACTAAAAATAGATCATGCGCAGTCTACAAGAACGTTACGCTATGACAGTCATTTCCTTACTAAATGTAGGTAAGTAAACGAGTTATATTTGTATCAATATTATTTTGAACCTATTAAAAAACTATTTTTTATAAATTAAAATGTTAAGTACGTATCTATTTACAAACATTTCTTTTATCTGTCATGATGGTAATTATCTCTCCGTCTAGGGCCGAGGACCTGACCCTCAATGTCTGCGATTCAAGCCCTAAATCGTGTATACGAGTCAGCTCCGTATACTTCCGGGAGATATTATTTATTTCTATTTATAACGTGATGATGTCATTCTAAAAAAAGAACGATAATGTTATTCTAAAAATAGAATCCAATATGGCGCCGCGCATGCGCAGTCGTGGCCCTAAACCGGCCCCTATACTACTTTTATGAATTTTTAAAGTGATATATTTAAATGTAAGAAAATACATTACTTTCCATATCCGCTTTGTCATAAACTCCGCTTGCGCCCCTTCTTTCAAATTTCACGATTTCATAAGTCTCCTTTCTTTGAACTTGTCTGAAATAAATTCTATCATAGAATTATTATTATACTTATCTGATTTCCACATATTTACTCGATGAGTCTAAGCAAATTATAAAGGACAGACATCTTTTCGATTTCATTTATAAGCCAGTTTAAGAAATGTTGATGGAGATGACAAAGGATTTATTTAATGATGATGCTAAAATGATTTGAGTCTGACATTACTGCAAATCTTAAACGCAGTAGTGGAGACGATAGACGATTATATAGTGTTAGTGTATACAAAATACACAACTATATTCGGCTTAATATACCTTCATCAGGGACTTATTACACTAATACACACAGTATACAGCACACAATTTCTTTATGTGTGTATTGCATAGTACCGAAAGTTGAGCTGACAATCAGTCGAAAGAAAGAACACACATTTTTACTTAATAAAAGATAATGTTGGCGGTCATAGGTACTCTATTTTAAAGCAGCCATATAAATTACATGTACATGTACACGTAATGTTTCAGTATTGACAACATAGTTTTATTGGAAACCTTATAGAACGCCTTTAACAATAATATTTTATATGCTGTAAGCTCAGAACTGCTAAAGCTTTAAATGCCAGCTACTATTTAAGCAAGTTTGGTTCCGCCATCAAATTGCACTTTACCTATGTGGATTACGTTAGATGCTTTGCAGTTATTAGTTAATCTGTCTTTAAAAGGTGTTTACGTTTTTGCCAGTGTATAAACGTAGAATGCATTGGTTGAACTCAAGACAGCAAAGGTTCTTTATCTTGTTGTGCCACATGGGCCAGACAGTAAAGTACATGTCTTTACGCATGTTTATTTAAGTATAGATAGATTTGTTTACTGAACAATACTTTCTAAATTCCTTACAAGACAACGTTTTAGCCCATGGACATGAAAATTTAAACTTGATATGTTGGTCAGATGGTATAAAAATAACAAAGCAAGGAAATGATAAGTCTACCTATGTAGTCAAAAATGTACTCGCACACATGTGATGATAAAGTATTTTTTGAGTAAAAATAAACCGGATATTTATTAATCAATATACAAGCCATTGCAATCACGTTAAAGTTCCGTGTGTTTGTTTAAAATTCTGATCATCTTTTAATAAGCGAAGCATTTCACTCATAAACGTTCTGGAACTTCAAACTAAGTGGAATAAAACGTTTTAAAACGTTTATTGAAATAAACTTACACAGTCGGTATTATAGTTTTCACTTTACTTTGGCTAGATGTTGTCCTGGCTAAGCCTACAAAAATTATAGGGTTCAGTAGTATGCAACACTAAGAGTAAGAATGGCAAAAGGTCATAATTATTTGAAATATTTATTTTGAAAATATTTTATTTAATTTAATTTCAAATTATTAAATGCAATGTTGTTACATAACTTATACAGTTATATGAATATCTTGGCATAGAAATGTAAAATGGTTCTCAGAACTTTCAAACAACATTAACCATTTATTAAAATCCTATATAACTCGCAGCAATACATACCGTTTTTATTGTGAAGTTTATATGCGCATATCCCTACTGCAATACTTATTGTTAATCCTTGTATAGCAATTAAACACACAATTGCAATGTCATAAAACGAGTTGTCTGCAAGAGAAACCGTAATACATCCTTACACTATTTACGGCTAACGTAGGTCTGATATAGTAAGGGCACGGACAATTATATAACTATGATAACATATAAATCATGTATGTATTAGATAAATAATTGTAATGAATAATGAATGAGTGTGTGAAGTTTCTACACTTAGTTACCAAATGATAAAAGATGTGTTACCTCTGAAAAAATCAAAATAGGTAACAAATTACATTTGTTCTCCTGGAATTCATGTTTTTTTTTCTAAAACATTCGCAATTATCAATTTTACAATTAAGACATTAAAGAAACGTTCATATAAGAATTACCTATGACAAAAATACTGATCGTCTGATTTAAAGTCCGCCCACCATATCTTGACACGGTACATGTGT